ATGGTGGATACATTGTTTCACACAACAATGTTTCCTATGGGGATTTTCGCTTAAGGACGGCAATCCGTTCCAATTGGAATGGATTATCTGGTTTCCAATGCATTCCTGTGGGAAATGGTGTTTCACAGAACGATGTTTCACACAACGTTGATTTTTTTGGAACTAATTAACATTGTTGTGTGAGGCACCACTGTACTTACTTAACTAATGTCCTTAATAACATGCTGTTCTGCACAAGGATCCCTTACGGTCCCTACCAAAACTCGACAGTGTAAAACTGGTCACTGGCAAGTGACTCTGGCAGCAATACTGAGTGCTCATGGTATCATTTGGCAAAAACCCACTTCCTGCCCAGGTTTTGCCAGTTTATACTAGTCAATAACATAATAATTCTACTCTTCTCTTTCAATAGTGCAGAACACACCCAGGAAACTGTTGCGACATATATCTCTTTGGACCGAACTATATGTCAGGGGCGAATTTGCATTCCTTCTGATTAATTCTGACAATGGGATTTCCCAAGAAGTATGTGCCTCAACAAGCAGACTTGCAAATCAAGTTCATATTAGTCCAACAACAAGAGACATTAACTGCAAGAATAATTTAAAACTCTGAAAACATTAAATCTTTTTAAAAATCATGCCTAGTTAGATTTTCACATAAATACAATAAAACATATTATAGTAGTAACATGCCAGAACTTGCACAGAAATGCAAAAAAAAAAAACCTTTAAAGTATTTCCAGTGTTCTCTGAATCTTTTTTTTTTTTTTTAAATCCCTCGACACAGAAGAATTGGTCAAAAAGATCTATGCTGCATTGATCTAAATCACATCTGATCACTTACAAACAAATTCCTTTTATTAACATTGTTAATTTTAAAACTAGATGACAAATACCAGGGACAGAGAAGCTCGTGCAAGTGAGAGGACTGGATCATCTTCTATCACTGGTTCCGTGGCAACAGAAGCTGGTGATCCCAGTGTTGCAGGGATCGTTAATCCACTCCGACTTTTAGTCTGAACCTTGAATATATTTGCAAGGTGCTAAACATATTTGTGAGACAGGGTTCAGCCTTTCAGATAGCTCTTGTAATGTCTGGACTAAGACCCAGAGTAAGTTCACCATCCTTGTGGCACTGAAGTCAACAGCCCCCACTGTTCCATGGGCTAGACAATGTCTGCACACCTAATGTCACACTGTGGAAGAGGTTATCTAGCTGATATTTCACTCACCTTCTCCCATTCAGAAGTGGACAAATAATGAATTGGCCTTATGTGACTTTTACAGAGGCCAGCTGAGCCCTGAGGTCAAGGATAATGCTTTTGAGATAAGACCCTGAAAAGCAGCCCAAAGTTGTTAGGTCTCCTGACCTAAAGTTTGACAACTGTGGTTCTGAACTAACAACCCTAGGCTCATCTGGCAGTTCTATAGGCTAGGTGACCTCTTTTTTTGGTTTTTATTCTTTTAGGCCCATTTACTGGTTTATCTGTTGCCCTTGTTTTTCTATTTTATTATTATTTTAATATCATTTTTTATTCTTTTCAATGGGGGTAGAATTTTGGGGGAATGGAATTTGGAGTTGGGGGGTAGGTATGGATAGGGAAAGGGTAAAATTCCAGAGAGGAAGACAGTACATATACATCAACTTATACAATTATACTAGAAAGAAAGATAGAACGAAAAGCAACAAATTTTCCAGTATTACTATACAGTATTTACTAATCTATCTTTTCCCTAGTTGGACCTTCACATTCTTCTTTCATCTATGCTTTCCTGTTTTGATATTTTATTATGTCCTCCTTTAACTCTTTTTATCCCAGTTTATTTTCTCCTCTTCCTTTACGGATCATCTAAGACAGGGGAGAAACTTGGAGAAACTTTTTACCCTGAGGGCCACACCGAATACTTCCAAGATCTTAGATGGCCGAAGGAACAGGAACGTACACGCATACGTCCCCCTGCATGTGCGCATGCACAGACACATGCACACACACCCCTCCACAATTTCCACACCTACCTGCAACATTGAGCTTTTCAGCCATTCCTGAACTGGGAGCAGCAGTACCGGTACTGTTTGTGGAATTTGCACCTGTGCCATTGATTACAAGGTTCTCCACTTTGGACTCAAGCTTCCCAATACGCTGCAGGATATTATCCAGCAAGACAGCAAGCGTTTTCTTCAAATCTAAACCAGGAAAATTAAACAAAACTGGTTAGCATATGTGAAAACACAGCAACACACATACACCCTGATATTCTCATTAGGCAAACACAGCAATGTTATAACATTCTTCAAGCCTCTCTTTGGTTTACCTGAAACTTCTTTCTGCCTTTTTAAATCATCCAAGTCTGAAAACATGATTATAGATATACACCATCTGGTTACATACAAAGCTGCTCACAAATACAAAGTCTTGGTGCACAACTTTGACCCCAATTCCTCTTCATTTAGCTATTCCATTGACTGACTAAGTTGCTTCATTCAGTTCCATGGCAGGGTAAGTGCGGCTAAAAGTTTACTTCTTGTAAACATGTGTTCTGCAGCTCAAAATAGGCATATGGCGTGCTTATTTCAGGCAACTCATTTCTGAAATAAAGTACTATTCTTCATAAAAATCTAGATAAAGAACTAAATGAAACCTGTAACATTCTTGATGCTGCCAAATTTTATATAAGGTAAAGGTAAAGGTTCCCCTTGACAAATTGTCCAGCCGTCTCTGACTCTAGGGGGCGATGCTCATCCATGATGCTCTAACTCCTACATTTCCTACAGACACTACAATGACATTATTGACCCACTGAGCAGGTTCAGTAAAAGATACTTCAAAAGAAATGCCAGGCAGAAGAAGAAATGTTAAATATACAGTATACAGTATATACGCACACATATATACCTCAACAACTGAAGATTTCCTTAGGATTCTAACACATTGGAGCTTTATATACTGTACTGTAGTTATAGAATCGTCTGAAGTATAGGCTTCACAGTTTGAATGCTCAGGTCAGTTGTGAATATGCTAGATGATCTTAAGCATACCATTATTTATCAATTTAAATTTCTCAGTACCAATCTTATAACAGGAGTTTAAAATACCTTACACAGCTGCATGAAACACTTGGAAAACCTTAATAAATTATACATATACTTGAACATTTTTTCCAGGTTCAAATTAATGTTCAAAACCTCTGTTCATTTCTGGTAACTCATTTGAGTTGGTAATTAAGGATCACGTAATTTAACATGCAGTAATCAAAATCCTGCATTCAGTATTTGCATTGCTGGGAACAGAATGGGGCAATCAGATTTAACCTAGAACTGTAAGTAGTATCATTACGTCACGTCTGAGACTTCTGAACATTTAACAGACACCACTTGAATTTACACTTTGCAACGGTCCTAGAGAAAGTTACCATAGAAAACAAGTTTCTCCGGGAGTGGGGCAGAGGATAAAAGCACATTTTTCTCATGGCTGAACAGAGGACATACAGAATCAAAAGCCATGACAATTATAACCTAACCACAAGGCAAGTTAAGTGCAAATCTCTGTGGGCCATTTAAAACAAAAACAAAATGCACAGCCCCTTAGGACATGTACCTTGCTCCCTATGTACATGGAATCAAGGTACAGCCTAGTGTTCAGCGTTATGGAGTTTCTCTTAGTATAAATGTCTGGTCTTGGTGAAGAGGAAATCAGTGCACCATAATCTTCTACATGAATTTGGTTTGACATTTAGGGCAGCACAAATTTGGCTTGGTTTGCAGTATAAAGGAGAAACACAATACAAACTAGCGTTGCCTGCAGCCTGCCAGAGACAAACAGGAGTTACAGAACAAGGGCTTCTTGTTACGTGAACCACAAAAGCGATGCAACTGTCAGCTGCCATGGGGATGGTGACCTCAACCTCTCAAGCAAAGGCATTCACAAGAACAGCAGAATCTTGTCAGAAATTGAGACACGGTGTAACAAAAGCAGCATGGCACCTCAGCATCCCTGGCATCTGTCCTAAAGAGGTGCTTTCATTTCAAACAGTGAAGGGGAAGCAGATACTGAAGCCACAAAGGAATGGCTGTGAGCTCTAACCTCGGTGCTATGCCCACTCTGGGGCATTACAACCTTTTATCTCTCTGTCTCTCTCTTGGCCAGATGAACTGACAAACCCAGTAAGATTTCGAAATGATAAGAAGAACCTTTGTAAGTAGAGACAAGGTGAACAACTAACTGGCAGCTAGATTTCCAGAGAATCTCCAAAGAGGCAGCTGCCTTCCGGCAAAACAAACAGAAAGGTTAGAAAGTGAAAATCAACAACATGCAGAACACACACAGTCAATGTGGTACTTAAAGGGCCACTGCAAACATTCAAGAAATTGAGAACACTATTGTTTTCCGAAAAGGTTTTTGAAGACTGGGTGGAATCTTGAGGGTTTCCATCCCACCCCGTCCAGTCTTCTCTACACAGTGTTTCTTCCTCTGTCCCTCTCATTCTCCCTCCCACAGCCGTCCCATTTTAATTAGGAGTATACACTTCACTAAAATGTATGGTCAGAAATTGACAAAAGCAGGTTTTCAACCCATAAAGGAAAGAATATGCTCAAATATGCTCTTCATATATGATGCGAAAGCTTGATCTGCTGAACAACCAAAATCTAAAAATAGAAAAATGCTCCTAGTTGTTAGGCAGCAATTCATCACTTATGATATGGGATGATTGCTTTCATGATCAGTGGGAAAAGAATCACTTATACACAGGCAATTTTTATGTAACAATTTGTGTCATATTGTGCAACTATATTTTATGTATTTTATCCATTTCTTTTAATATTTTTTAAATCTGATGAAAGCTGTGAAGAGATACTTGAGACAGCAATTAAAGTACTAAGTGATGTTAGCAATACACAGATGAACCAATTATTTTTTAAGTACTGAGAACTGAGCTTTTTTAAAAAAACAATGATATAAAGAGGCAAAAGAATTGCCTTTAGTTAGATTTTCAGGTCTACAACAGAACAAAATATGAGCTTTTCTCATGTTTCTGCTCCATGATGTAATGTGGCTATATAAACAGAACCTGCAGCTCTAATCCACCAGCCTTTTGCTGCCTTTCATTATTATTATTAATGGTATCAAATCTTCTCCAAGATGTTTCCTTCTTAAGCACATGATTTTATTGTCTCTGTCACCCCTCACCATCTGGTGCCCTCCATATTGTCTTATGAATTATAAGGCATGTCCTTCTAATTTAAAAAAAAAGGAAAAAAGAACAGTACTTAGCATAAACAGCTGAGAACACTAATGTTACTTGTAACTTCAGTGGGGGTTGTGTTAGCCTGTTGCAACACATCTTTAGACACTGAAGACAGTTATTTGGATCATGATTTTTTTATGCTGCAGCCCATTTGGTGCATCTCAAGCTTTGTTTCCAGATTTAGACATCTGTAATACTGACCTCTTATAAAAATCTAGTGTTTAAATGTTGTTCTGCCATCTCAGATGGTAACAGTCCTCTTACTTAGGATTATAAACCCTAACTTGTCTTATCTTCATAAACAAACATGAGAAATCCTATACACTGGTGAGGATGGCAAGGAATTTACTGGTGATGTCAACAGAAGTAAAAACAAAACTGGCACTACTTAAAGGTGATTTTAGGGTATATGCAAATTATATACAATGCAATGAAGTCCCATGTGCCCTGAAATTAACAAAAGAAGCCTTTAATAAGCAGTGAGTTCCCACTGTTGGCGACATCATCCCCACTGCACACGCACAGTGAGACAACAGGATTTTAGCCAATGTTTTGTGTGGAAAATGCCAGTTTTTCAACATAATTAACCATTTTTGAACACAACTGTGTAATCCTACAGTGTTCCAAAACAACTGACTGATTTCAGAGCCTGAAATACTAAATTGGTTGTTTGTATCTTTGTCAATAATCAGCTAGTCCTTCCCCGTTTGATATATGCATGTAGTCTGCTTCTCAAAGGAAAGGGCACTAGAGGGATTGCATACAAATCACAGTAGAAAATAAAGCTATCCTTTTGTTTCAGTGTAAGCAAGGAATCTCATGGGGCTCCAAAAATCCTCATCAAAGCTGCCTTTCCTGCTAAGACAGTCTAAATGGATGAGAATAAGGAATTCAATGAGAATTCTTTCCAGTTCGTCCTTCCCTCCTCTTAAACCCCAATTTCCATGGGAGGCAACAAATGCCTTTTCCTAACAGATAATGCACCACTATGAATGTTTATCAGATACAGGGAACCCTGGAAAGAGTTGTTTCCCACTTCTCCTTGAGTTTTAACAGTTGTACTATTGCCAGGAAAGAAGTCTGTCTCACTTGTTTTTTCTGTATTCCTTAATATCACTGGTAGATAAGCAAGTAAGTGTCAGCAAGTGCTTTGGAAGTAAGGGAAGGAAGAGAAATAGGCAATCAGCTTCTCAGTGAAGAACAGCGTGAGATATAAGCTCTCTTCCTATACTTCTCTCCTATTTCAAATAGTTGGTTCAAAGAGCATACTGAATAAATTTAAATAAATTGAAATGATTACAGAGGTACTGCCCCAAGATTCTACTTCTGGATGTTACTTCTGCTACAAATGTATGATTTAAAACAAAGGTCAGTGTAAGAAAAACCTTTCTTCAGACTTCCAATATACCAGCACTAGAGATACTGCAGTCCCTTGGCTCTACAGTTTGATGATTCATCTCTGTTTCTCTACAACTGATGTGGCTACCCTTCTGCACTTAGTGTGATTTGTATACTGGGTTTTTCTGAATAAAATGACTGGGGTGGAGACGGTCTTCAAAATATTAACAAACTTTCTGTAGCTGGCTGGGTCCCCCCAAAACTAACCCAGAAACTTGTTGGTTTTCATTTACGTACAGAATCAACTCATGGAACTGCTTTGCATGATAAATAGGACACGGATCTAATGTTGATTGAAAGCTTAACAAGGTTAATAATTCTTTCCCTTCAAATGCACTAGTTATGTTGACACCCCTTCACATGTTTGTGGATGCGTTGTTTCCTCTCACCACTAGTCAGAAAGGTTATTTCAACTACTGCATCGAAGGCTTCAGGATCTCCTCAAATGCAATGTTTGCTGATGCCAGAAATATGCATCGCTTGATTAATAATAAAAAATAATTACATATTGTTAAGTTTATTCTAGTGTGCAGCAATCCTTTT